TACCCTCGCCGAGCGATTAATTTACTATATCCGTCGCTTAGCTCGGAGCTACAGCCACTTCGATTTTCGACTCTCGCAAAACACCCCGTATATTCTGCTAATTCCACCAAGGCATGTCAGTTTAAAAAATATTACGCGCGACGTTTGCGCGCGCGTTGTGTACAGGAAACATTTTACTGAATGTGAAATTTAGATGATGTCCATTTGTAAAATCCATCAAACCGCATTTATAATTCACGATTCAAAGTAATTTTCATTATGTAACCACAATATCAATTTATATAAAGCTGATTATACAATACTAGGATATAAGCGATTTTACAATGTATCGAATTCATTTTTCCGTAACGTGTAATTTCCTCGAATTTTTCCATCTCGCGAAAGAATATCTTACATATTTTACATCAATTATAAATTTTACATAAAAATTTTTTGCCGATGAAAAGATAAAGTCAAAAAGTATTCAAAAGTAGAAGCATATATAATAATTTTAAAATAACCTATTGTATAATTTTAAAATAACTTCCTATTAAGACGCCTGGATGATCGGCAAGTTTAAAAAAAAAAAAAAAGAAAAAAAAAGAAGATAATTAAATCTGCTGTATTTTGCGAAATCACCCCTCGTTCGCCGATAACGCTGCGGTCGCTATTTCAGACCGGCACGGGCCTTAATAAGACGAGATTTAGAGCGTCCCAGGTGGCAGACCGGGCCCCAGCAGTGGCAGTTTATGTTGTCGTGTACCCCGACGGAGTTCCCGGACCATTTAACCGGGACGTAAATGTTAAAAGCCCGCCGTCTCTCCCTTTACGCTCCGCGCGTATCCGCGAACGTTACGACCGGTTTTACATTCAAGCTTCGACGCGCTCTCAGACCCGCGGGGTCGTGGTCGGATGGTAGGAAAAGAATGTGCCACGCAACCTTCTGGTGAAGAGCAAAAAGAAGACGCAAAGTAGAAATTATCGTGAAGAAACAGCCCGCTATCATTTTACGAGCTTCCTCATCCGCCCCGGCTGTGTAATCGGATTTATAGAACAATTCTTAGAACCGTCTGTCGTGCACTCCAGCTCCTTTTTATAAGCTTAAAGGTAAAATTTCTCCATGGAAATTAATATAGAGCAGATTTTCTGTGTTAATGATTAATCTGCTGGAAAAAGCATGCTTGTAGTATATAAAGCTCGCGTATTAATTATAATATCATTCGTCATAATATCAATATTTAATATATCAATGCTAAATACCATACAATAATTACGTTGTTTAATTAAATTGCCGAGGACTAAGGCTTGCGCTGCAATTCGTTAAAAATTAATGTATTACACTAATTCGAGATTCTTAAATTAATAAAAAGCAAAGAAAGCCCCACAAGTCCAGTTCCTTTTCTTCTCTTTTGTGCGCGATACATCCTCGTCGTGCTCACGGATCATTAAGAATTTTCCGCCGACTAATGGCATCGGCTGGATTACGAAGTTTTCAGAGCGCCACACCGGTTCCCGCATCGAGAGAACGCACCTAAGCACACCTGCACCCCTTTCTCGCAACCCTCCCTGAGACGCACCCTTTCCTTCTCTCGCGGGGAGGTCGCGCGAGAAATTTCCGCTCCGCGAGGACGGACTTTTCGCATTTAACCGCCTCAGCTCGGGAGACCGTAAAGTTAAATATCGAAGGAGGATTTCTAAAACGGAGAGACGCGAGAGGGTGGAAGAAACACCACCGCCGCCACGTAAATTGGCTTCGCCGCCGGAGGCGGTCGGTTAATCGCGCGAGGAGGTCGCGCAGGTCGAGCAGCAAGCCGGGAGAACAAATAAAGAACAAAGTTAAAATTCAATTCGGCCGGAAGAAACAATCGAAGTCCTGGTCGCGAGAACTGGGAAAATCGTATTTGCGGTTGTTTCAGAAAGAAATCCAGAGAGACACATGGAAATTCTAAAAACTTCTCTGTTTTAAAAAAACGCAAATAATAAAATTAACAATAAAATGCGCATCGCGACACGTGTACTTATTTTTTCATTTATTTAAATATAAATATATTCTCAGAAATATGTATACATAATTTATATCATAGTCTTCACAAAATCATAGTTTTCACTAAATCATAATTTTAAACAAAATAATTTTAAACAAAAAAAAAATAATTTATAATATATAAAGAAAGCAAAAAAGACAAAATCAAGATTTCACAATGCTTAATCCTTTCTTGTGAAAAAAACATCGCTCTTCTCGCGAACGCCAATTACGTGCAGTAGAACAGGTCAACCTTTCATCAGACCTTAGCAAAGTATGCGCATATACAGAATATATCCAATAAATCCACGTCATTAAAATTCAAGACATTATAATATTATAACATTAAAAAATTAGATTTTGAGATTTAATCTATCTATATATATATATATAG